ACTTAAACAAAACACAAACAAAATGACATCTATATAACAGTATGTAATAAAATTTTGTTAATATGCAAATTTCTCCTATAGCAGTTTTAAAATTTATAATTTAAAGGGTGTTAATTTTTTAATTGCATTGTTTCTTCACTAATGAAAATCTGGAAAAGAAGTTTCCGAAAATAGCTGGGCAATATATTAGGTAAATTAAACTGCGGAGGAGTAAATTAAACTGCGGAGAAAGGAGCTTTAATAATAGTTTATTAAATTTCTTCGGTATAATCACTTACATAAATTTCTTTAAATAAATGAATATATTAAGAATTGTATTACTTTATTATAAGACTTTTGATGAGATGTGAATTGATGTTTTCTATTTATAGATAATGCCATCAAAACACGAGTCACATGACACACCACCCAGTTATATGCAGTTTAATTAATATATTGACCCGCTACTACTAAGATTGAACTTCTTTTCCTTAGTTTTTTTAGTATAGAAATAACACCAATGTGTTTAAGAAAGTTACACCCTCTCCAAGGTTACTTTTACAATGGGTAAATTTGCATGTAACTGTATCCAGTGGTAGATTTTTGGGGCCCGCGGTTATTTATTTTTGAGATTTTTTTTAGGTGCTACACCGTAAAAATGACTAACAAAAAAGTATACAACAAGTATACAATGTAAATATTGCAGAATAAGTTTTTAATGGGTTTTTAAACCATATTACTAAATTCTATATACGCACATCATTTTTTGAATGTTTATTGTTTATTGTTTTTTTAATAAAATTAGATGTAAAAAAAGCACTGTTACTGATTTCGGAAGAAATATAAGGATAACTTTTAGTTTAATTTTTTGAAAAAAAATACACACAACTTTTTGTCCCTTTTTTTTGGTATTAACTGTTATGTTTTTGCCTAAAACTAAATAAAAGCGAGTGGCTAAACAATTTTTTTCTTATAAGTAATACTAAACTTTGTCTTTTATTTTAAAAATTTAGAAAAGGCGGGGGAGGGGGATTTTTCCTTCCCTTCCCTAACTTTTGATCCTCTCCAACCCTTTCCTCATTAGTAAAACTAGTTAAAAATAAATAGTTTTCATAAAAATTAGCAATCTTAATCAAATAAACAAACCGGCGCCGGTTAGTTTGCCGCAGCAATTCGGAAAATGTTATAGAAACCGGTTTTTTTTATAGAAACCAGATCAAAATTCAGCGGGCAAAATGCTTGAGCAGAGTCTAAATCTTATTTAATTATAATGAGATTTAGCTTAAAATGATCATAAAGATCTACAAAATTAAATAAAAAACAAAGCCTTTTAATTTTAATTTTTTAAGGGTGTTTTAACTGTCATAATATGAATTTTTGTGGTGAAAATTTGATCTTTGAGCCCGTTGAGCGAGGTCTAAAATTTGTGCAAATTAGTTAAACTTTCGTTTTTATTGATCATAGAGTACACCCACAGCATATGGAAAACAGTGCCTTTTGGTTTTCAAAAATGAGGGCGTTTAGCCTACCCTACTGTATATGCGCACATAGTTCAAGTATTTTTTTTCAAACATATTTAGTGGTCTCTTATCTTGTGGTAACTTGGGAGATGTCATTTTCGGTATGGGAATTATAGTAGATCTTTTCCAAGTTTTAGGTACAAAACCTGTTCTAAAAGACAAATTAATTATTTTTAGCAAGTTTAAACCAATGACTGGGTAGACTTTTTTAAAAATTGGTACATTCATATCTTCACACATACTTTTTTTGTCTTTTAAATCAATTACAATTTTGTCTAGTTATTCCATTCAGATGATGAGGTATTTTTTATGTGATCAGCAGCCACATATTGATTCAACTTTGTTATTGATTTTTCAATATCGATAATATTCTGAATGAGAAATTCATAGTATTTATCAGCAATCGATTTATCACTTGAATCCTCAAACTTGACATCTTCCCAAAAATCAAATTGAGTTTTACATTTAGTTTCAGTTCAAGTTTTAAAAGTCTTCCACATTGCAACACTATCACCTTTAAACATATCAATTTTAGCTTTATAAAAGTGGGCTTTAAATTTTCTCAATGGATAAGTTTTGATATTTCTTAATTTTTTATAAACTTTGAATTCTTTAAAGCAACTTTCTTCCCTTAAACCAAGTAATCTCATTGCTTAAATTTACTCCGCGTTAGATATACTTTTTTTACTTATTGCCAATAAATTTGGATTGTTCATCCATTTATTGTGGAAATTTTGGTTAATATCTGTGATGGTTTTTGTTTGGACTTCCTTTTTTATAGTTTTTTGAATACTATTAATGAATTTTTCAGCCCTTTCATTGATGTTAAGTTTCCTAAATTCCACCTTCTTTTCTTTAAGTTTAAATAACAACTCTTTATTTATTTTATTGTAGTCAATTTTGTCATACAATTTAATTTCTTTAGAACGAAGTAGCTTACTCTTCACATTACAATTCTTTTTTACATTATATTGATACTTAGACACAACCATTTTATGATCTGTGATTTTATGTGATTCATTTTGTAAAAAAAATGGTAAATTATTTATAAACAGGTCGATCACTGTACTTGAAGTTGGAGTAATTCTTGTAGGTATAGTATCCTTATTGATTATTCTTAGACTTGATTTTCTTACTATTTCAATGAAACTCTCAGAACAAAGTGAGCTATTTACGTTTCTAAATGGATCAGAATTAAAGTTAAAGTCACCCATAACTATGATACTTTTATATTTATTTTCAATTGCGGTCGTCTACTTTTCATAAAAGTTTATAAGTTCAACGTGATTGTTTCTTGATGGTGATCTATATACACAGCTTACCCAAATTGTTTTATTTAGAACTTTTAGCAAAACACTCATAACCCACCACTTCATTTCTACTACAATTTGTATAAAATCCATGACTTTGATATCTTCTTATATCAAAAGTGTACATCCCACAGTATGTGTACTAGAAGATAATACACTTTTGGATGTGTAATGATCAATTTTAATCTCATAATCAAAATATATATCTGTAACGTGAGTTTCTTTTAAACCAATAACTTCGGGCTTATATTTTTTTTGATAATTGTTTAACAATTTTTATTTATAAAACTCTTTTAAATTTGATTGAGCAATACTTTACCAACACTTTCAACTTTCATGCTCCTTATATTTTTGGTTTTACAGAGATACGTCTGCCATCTTTAAAATAACCGTTCTTCAACTAGTTCTACATCATTAGTAACTTTTATCTCTTACGAACATTTCTTTGAATGATTAACCTACTTAGACAGCGTTGGATTGGAAAAAAAGTCAAAAGTTGCAGAAACATTAAAGATTTATCATTTAAAAAGTGCATCAAACAATTTTGATTGTTATTCTACGCTCAAGCGACTGCCAAACAAAAATTTGAATTTTTATTAGATGCCCACGAGAATAAATTAATTTCATTGAAAAACTTTATCATCTTATAACAATGTATTGAAATTATTACATAGTTCTAAATAAAAACTGGTGGCAATGTTTTTTTACTTTGAAATTTCTTTCCTGATTTCTAAATTCTCTTGATATGTTTTGCTTTGTATGTGGACATTTTATTGATAAAATATAGGTATTACACAGGATCATAAAAGGTACCATAATGCTCTTAGATTAGTTTAGTTTATTTCGCCGTTAAATTTTTACTATGTACAAAAATATGTAAAAAGTTATATAAACTAACATTATCACCGAGCCCTATCAGAGACTCTTCTAAATACCCATATCATAAAATAAAAAAAAAAACAATTGTAAGACGTTAAGAAACAAAAAAAGTAATAAATAATATTAATATAATTTCTGTTGCAACATCATAAAATAAACTGAAGTGTCATAAAAAACGGAAATATAAAATAGTTTACACACGAGTCTGCATACGTAAATTAAATGACTTAAAAACAATTTGCAGGTAACTTCAAAAATAAATATTTTCAATAAGTCTGATTATGACGTTGAAATTCCAAATATTAAATTTTTCAATATCATCAATTATCATTATACCTCTTCAATACCATCATACCATCAACTATAGCACCTGTCCCACATGATGACCGCCTATCAGTACCAAAACCATCACAAAATACTTCTCACCTTACTCTCTAAAAGTCATACACTTAATTAAATATATAGTATTTACTATGAATTTATTTTTTAATTAAGTTTTTAGTGCTACTGTTATTTATGTCAAAATTGCTACAAACTATAGTTTTCATTCTTTTACAAGGGAAGATGCAATAAATATTTCATGTCATAAGTCAACAAGCTTCTTACGGAAGAACATAGAGGAATTATTCGTACTAATAATTTTGTCCGAGATATAAAAAGATATTCAGACAATTTTAACCCAAACGATTACATAATGTTCGAGTAATAAACGAGTACGTAATGTTCAAATAATAAACTTGTACGTTATGTTCAAGTAATAAACAAGTATGTAATGTTCGAGTAATAAACGAGAACGTAATGTTCAAGGGAACGGAAAAAATGTTTATTTCAAATGTTTATTTCAAAGATAAACAAAAGTTTGAGATATCAAATATTCGAGATTCTTGATCTCGAATCCTTGATGGAGTCAATTAAAATAACGAAATAATTAAATTTTTAAAATGAGCTTTTTTAGAAATAAAAATTATGTAACTTATTTCACATAAAAATAATTCTAAATTGCAAAACTTTTATATATTTTAAAGTTTTTTAAAGTAAAGTAATTACGTTTTGTTCAAAAGCATAATTTTAGTAAAAATAATTTTGAAAGACTGAAACAGCTTGGGTTGGATTAGATTTTCCTAACGTTCTTGCTTGATAAAAAGAGATTAAGTGCCAGCATAGAACTAAGAACTTGTCACTTCTAAACCACTGCACCATTTCTTTTGTTAACAACTATTGTTGTGTGTATGCGCCATAATCATACAGTATACAACCCATAATCAACAAAAGAAATAAAGTCAATTTTCTTTCAAATTATAAAAAAAAAATCTTTCAAATTTAAAAATTTTTCTTTATATAATAAATTATGTATAAATATTTGTTTAAAAAGTTTAACCAATACGTTTAAATATTCAAGATTGTTTTGTAAGAACATAGTAAAACAATAAAAAAAAGTGGTATAATAAAATTATTATAAAATTACATCATTATCAAACTATTTTGTCTATAAACATGATTTACAAAACATTTTAAAATACCAAAAAAACGTTTTCTTTATTAAATTGCTTATTTTTAATTTTAAAAAAAAAATTTATAAAAAAAAAATAACAAAAAAACTGGCCTACAGTTTGTGACAGTTGCATGTTGAGTAGGCCTGTGTAAGTAGCAGCGATTCAATAACTATTGATTACTGACTATAATTCCTTCTTGTAATGTTGTTTTTCTTACTTTAAACAAATACACCGAATAACGGAACTATTGGTTACAGATTGTTATTGCTAACTCATATAAAACAATTTTATATTAACTTAGAAGTGCTTTTTTAACCATTTCAATTAAATTTTACTTAATCTTTCCCAGACTCAAGTCAAATATGCTCGTATTTTTTTTTAATAATCCAGATCCAGGATATTCAACTGTTCCAGTGTGAATGTCCTGGTTTCAATTTTGAACAGAGAAATTGCAGAATAATGCCTAAATTCTCGATTTTTAAGTCCCAAAGCCTGTTCCAGTCCTCATTAAATGGTACTTTATCTTCATCCCAAAAATAAACATATATGACAGCTGCAACACAACCGACATTGATATTTTTTTCAAGTAAAAAGTTGTAATTGAACATCGGATTTTTTTAAAAATTGTAATTACATTTATGTAAGTAACTACCAGGTTGGCTCAATAGGTCATGCAGTTCTTTTTCACAGATTACTTCACTCTATATCTCTAAAACTTTGATTTTATTACCTATATAGTAAAATGTTAATTACGTGTGCGTACAGTAAGTGTTTGGTCATCAGTTTATATGCGCCGCGATACTGAATATTACTATTATGACTTCGTCAAATTATAGAGGTTACCATGAAGCAGGACAAAAAATCTAAAAGTTTCATTTAATAGTCTAGAAACCTTGAAAATTTTCATTGAAAATGCCATCGGAAAAATCAGTTTCACTTTCAACAAGATCGAGATTAGATAAAGATGGAGGATTGTTTAGAGAATTTAGAGTGATACTATGCTCATCATTATTAACATCCGGTTCAAAATCAGATAAATATCTAAAATGTAATAAAGAGATTCGTGTTATAAAAGGGACTTTAACTAAATGTTTAATGTAAAACAAAAACAAACGAAAAAAAAAGATACCTTTCAAACTTTACGTTTAATCCTTTTAATTTTACTAAAGGGCTGGTTTCCACTATCATACCTTGGTACGGTTCAACACAACAGTACTGTGTATTAGTATCTGGAATTGTTTTCAAACTTTTTTTTTTATTAAAACTCTGTGTTATTGAACTTGCATGTTGAACCTCAGAGTTATTATTTGAATCAATGGTGTCATCTGAAGCACTAATCCCGCTATCGTCATCGCCATCCCAAACTAAGTCATTATTATGCTGGACCAGATAATCTGAACTAAAGTATTAGATACTAAATTTTAAGTATACAAAGCATATTTGAGTAACAATAGTAACCATAACTAATATATTAAATTTAGTTAAATAAGTTATTTAGTAAACTTTATACTTAAGAATAGCTTAATATAAAAAAATTACTTTTTGTTTCGATCGCTTTTGTCTAACTCTGCAACTTTTTTGTTATCTAAAAGATAGTTAAACTTGACATGAAGATGTTTCAGTTTAAAAAATACAAAAGTTGTTAACAAACAGTCAAATTTTTATAAAATTTGGTATTAAAAAGTAATGGTGCCCTAGAGTCTACCCTTGGCATATAATAATGGTGCCCCAGTCTACCCTTTTGGAAAAAACAAAAAAGTCAGAAATTCTTCTGCTTTTGAAGTAAAAAAAAAATTTTAACAAAACCTTTTTTAAAACTAAACTTAATGATTATAACACATTCACGAGTTGTTTAAAACCTGGGGTAAAAATTGTTAAAAAATGATTGATATTAAATCAATGGTTGTTTGACTCATTAAATATAAAAAATGTATATTGTTGAGTATTCTATTTTCTTTCCAATAAATATAGATGTGCATAAAAATGATATTTGATGTGCTAATTATATTGCTTTTTTTTGACATGTATCGCATAATCTAAAATAACTGTTATGGCCAAAATTAACAATCCATTCTATTATTTCAAACATCCTTCCGAATTTCATTTGTCTTTGATTAAAACATTGCACTTATTTACGAACTATTTATAATTATTTGAGAACTTTTATTTAAATTGTTATAAATATTTAAAAAATTTGCGTAAAATGAAATAGAAAAATGATTATCTAATTAACTACAATATTTCAGCAATAAAACAATCAAATTGACTGCAAAAATTATTTTAAATCATTGATAACATAATAAAATAAAAAATCATAGTAATGAATGAACAAAACATCTTAATGAGAGAAACTGCAAAACATTTAAACACACGCCACTTTTAGCAGAATAATCAGCCATTATTAAAGATACAATACAATTCAAAATATTCCATATTCTTGAAGACTCAGCTTTTCAAATAAAAGAAATGAATGTTCACTTATTGGCATAGTGAAAAAAAATAGAAATTTATCATCTACTGATTTTAGTCGAAAAGGACAAAAAGTTTCTGGTGTTGTTGCTAGTGCTCATCAATTAGAAGAGTACTACAAAAACACAATTACATATGGCAAGCTGCATGCGAAAAACCGTGCATTTTGATAAAACATCAGAAAACAAGAAAAAACTGGTGTTTAGTTCTTAAAATTTGGTCTATGAGCATGTGGCACAACGTTCTTTTCAGAGATGAAATAAACGTTGAGGTTGATTTAAGAAAAAACCAAGTAATGCTGAGAAAAAAGCCACATGAAAAAATGGACCCAAATTGTTCTACGTTTAGAACATAACATGGTAGTGGTAGAATCGACATCTGAAAGTGCCAGTTGTTTCAAAATATCTTATGGAAGGCTTGATTCTCAAAGATATTTATTTAGACATATCGGATAATTATTTGATGCCTTCTTTAGACATTTTCTCAAAATACATAGGAATCTTCTAACAAGATAATGCTCTATACTGTTAAGATTTGCAAGCAACTGTTTGAAGAAAACAACATTAAAACCAAAAAAATCTTCATAAAAATTAATTTGGGGCAAGAAACAAAAAGGGTTGCAAAAAAAAAAATCAACAAATTTATGCAACATTTCATAAAATACAAGAAGTTTTTTAGTGATCACAGGAACTAGATGTATCAGTATTTAAACATTTTGAAAAGTTCTTAGCAAGTGCAAAAAATACATGGTCAAAAAACAAACTTGTACAATTTATGATGTAATCCTTTACAGATGGCCTTACAGACGACCTTTTCTAATAAACCCCTTCATTGTAAATTGCTGAACTGACAAAAAATATATATCTTGACAAAGTTTTAAATTGCCATTTGGTTTATTTGGTAACTCAGAGTATATTATTCTGTATACAAACCTTTAAGAATCTCTATTAAAATATAAATTAGACTTTTACAATAAAATTGCAGAAATTTTTTTGCACCAATAAAATATTGAACAAACTCTTCAAAATCTATAGAGTAATTATGATCTCTAAAAATGAGAAACCTAACCTCATTGTAACAAAAGCATTATGAGCAATCTATTATTGTAACAAAAGCTCAAACATGTCATTACAATTACAGTAGTTATTATAAATTCAACATTAAAACTATAAGCTTTCATGTTTTTTTAATATAATTTATATAACTTAATTGGAGTATTTTTGTTATAAATTTGTTAAATGTTATAAATTTAGCAGAACAGTGCAAAAAAAAGTGCATATGAAATAAAAAAATTCAAACCTTAAATTTTTATTATTTTATTTTTAAAGCAAAAATAAAAATTTCATTCAACAGAACTAAGTTAAAAATATTTTATAAATTTTTTAATCAAATAAAAACCTTTACAGTGATTTTCTACTTCAGTCTATCAAACAAAGTTTTTTTCATTAGAAGTTAAGGAATAATGTGTAGTTATTTTTATTATCTTACTTTAATAATCAAACTTTTAAAGATTTTATAGAGGTCTATGCAACAAAATAAGTAATCATAAACATTATGAATATGTTACTAAAAAATGACAAAAATGAATCATTTCTAATATAATAATCCATATAGTATATATAGTAATCAAAACAGAAAATGTTAATGTTTTTTTTTATTAACAAATACAATATTTGAGTAGTTTATTATTATTATCATAATGTATATAAACACTATAAGCCTTAAAGTGTGGTCAACAAATACGCTGTCACTAATTAACAAAGTTGATGAAGTCAAGCACTACTTGCAACAAATTTAAATTGGCAAAAAACAATTATTATTTGGATACATTTATAGACCCCCTAGATCATCTAATGAAACCAATAACTCGATTATAGCTTCAATACATAATGCCAAAAACGGATAGAGAATTATTTTGGACTTACTAGTTTCAGAGGAATTAAACTTCAACAAAACTATATGAAGCAATGAAAATGCTTATTTATCTGGTGATAATGAAAACCAGTTTAATAACTTTTTAAATTGTTTAGACAATTTCTTTTTCAAACAAATGGTTCTATAACCAACTTTTCAAAAATCTAGAAATGAAATGACTAATATTCTAAATTTGGTAACTGTCAATGATGACAACAGAGTTTCAGACATAATTCATTGACCACCGCTTAGAGTTGAACAGCATGCAACCATCTCATTGAGTCCTCCTCTTTTTCCTCTTGGACTATTGTTCACTACTAATTTTTCATGGAAACCATATATACAATCAATTGCAAAAAAGCATTTGATAATGTTACTTCTCTTTATCATGCTTGCCATTTTCTCTTTCCTGATTTCATTCTCTACCTCTACAAATCTCTTATTTGTTCCTGTATGGAATGCTGTTGTCATATTGCCCTTTCTCTTCTAGACAAAGTCTAAAAACGCATAGTAAACCTAGTTAAACCCGCTCTACCTGCTAAGCTTGAGCCTCTTTCCTATCATCGTAAAGTTGCACCTCTTTCTCTTTTCTACAAATACTGTCATGGTCGCTGCTCAAAGGAGCTATTATTTCTAGTTCCATCAACTAAAACTAATTCTAGCTTGAGCAAATTCAGCAAAGTCTCATTCTTTTACTGTATCTGCCCCTGCAGGCTCTAAAAACTTTTATTCGTCTAATTTTTTTCCCTGCGCCTCTCAACCCTTTGGAACTTTCTCCCATCTTCATATTTTCCTGACTCATACAACCTTCAACTTTAAAAGTTTTCTGTCAACTGTTTCCTTGCTCTATAACTTTTTTTTTCCTACTAACTCCCAACTTAAAAGTGGTTGCTTGCAGCCACTTTTAAGTTGTGAATCAAAATTAAAAAAAAAAAGAATTTATTTATGACTCAACCTAACAAATTAAAAACTTTCTATTAATTTTTTAATCATTTGACTTCTTTTTCTGTTATTTTCTACTTCGTTCTATCAAATGTAGCAGTACTAGTAGCCTAATTTCTATTATATTTTTTAACTTTTTAAACTTAAAAAGTTAAAAAATATAATAGATATTTTAAAGTTACTTTAAAATACATTAAAATAAAATTCATAACTGTGATAAAAAGATGTTACATAAAAACTACTGTATACTTACGGTATTTTGAATGAAAGATCCTGACAATAAATATTAAAAGTAATACAAACAACAGTAAAACAGAAAGTGCTGAAACAGGAATAATAACAATCAAATATTCACGGTCTAACCACCCAGCGCTAGCTATCAGAGGTGTTGAAATTAAGCCTAAAGAAAAACCATAAAATTATGTGTTATTTTTTTAAAAACAATTTAATGAACCAATTAAAAATAATATTTAAATACGCATATAAAACATTTCCTAACTAGTCTAATTAGTTCAACCCTAACAAGACAATAACTATGTTTTTAACTTAAATTTTTTACATTTACTTTTAAGTTGATTATAAAATAAAATTAAGAGCCTCCCTACCTGCTAGTTCCTACCTACTAGTAGCCTCCACGTAATTTATTACAAGCTTATCTTTCAGAGGTATTTAAAATTTTTTTTTTGGGTATTTGCGAACTTAAAAGTTTAAATTGAATCATATCAAAATATATGAGATAACATTTTGTCTGAGTTTGAACACCTGCCTGTAGGTGAATCTTTATTCACTAGGGGTGTTCAAATCTCAATTAATGCTATAAGAATAAATGCATTCTATGAAGATTAACGCATGCTTAAAAGACAACAAATTTCAATTTTAAAATAATTATAAATTTTTTTTTCCTAAAAATTATTATTCAAATATTTATATATTACATATCTTATTTAAATATCTAAATAAGTTTAAACATTCTGCTTATTAAAGTTTTAACAGATTTGTTTACATTTGATTAAATGTCTCAATCTTACTTGTTTATTAGACAACCTACCCCCCATCAATTATTATTGTTTATTAGACAACCTACCCCCCATCAATTGTTAGACATCTTATTTATCAGAGAACTCACCCCTTATATTATTTTATTTATTACACATCTGGTTTAACAATAGATGTTGAACTTCTTAAATCTAACTTATTGCTTTAAGATAGTTAACATTTTCTAATGCATGCTTAAAAAACCAATAATCAAGGTAATTTTTTTCATAAAAGTTTGTTATCTGCTCTTACCAAAAAAATTTTTTCAAAAGTTGCATGCTATATGTAAATACAAGATGCAATACAGTTGTAAATCTCTGACTATTCTTTTGTGTGGTTTTTTTATTTTTGTGGTTTCTTATCTTTAACACCTCTTTTTTCTTTATTGTTTTCTTTCTTCTGAACAAAACCACTCTTTTTTATGTTATTTCTGATCAAAATGACTAAATGTATTTTCTTTAACCATTAGCAATTGTTATTATTAGTGACAATAGTGTGAAAACCTAATGGCAAAATAAAAAGTATTTTAGTTATGGCAAGTATACCCAGACCTGAGGTTGACAAAAAGACCAAATTTCGCCTGAGCAAATTTCTTTGTTGGCTACTACACTCAACACTATTGGATGAGGGAACTATGAACTAAAAATTGTAGTAAAAAAACATTTTAATTGTGGTGAATTTTGGTGATAAAATCATGACATGAGTAAATAGAAAGATAAAATTATTCAAACTATAAATGCTCACTGATCTTGGTGTCACTAAAATTTAATTTTTTTAATTTAATATTTAAAAAGTTAACTTTGTGACTTGTTTTCCTAGCAACCTTAATCACACCTACCTATATTTCTTAAATTGTGTCTCTGACTCAAGCTTGGGCTCAGTTTCTCTTTTTAGTGCTTTAGATAATATCATGAACTCACCAAAACTTTTATCTTGTACTTCTTCTGCATTTATTCATTGCACTTCTTACTTCTACCTTAATGCTAACTAGGATTTCTATTTTGATTTTTTTAGTTATTTTTCTGCTATTATTTTTTTTAATGGCTTTTGAGCTAGTTTTTTTTCATTTTGAATTTGATATGTTTTTTCATCTTGACTCATTTCTTGAACCTAATAACTATATTCTTCTTGTCATTCTAAAGAAACAGCTTCATCCATTCATAGACATCTAATTAATCCATTCTTAACCTTAATCCATTCATAGACATCTATTTAATCCATTCTTTAGCTAAATCCATTCTTAGACATCTAAATCACTCCAGCTTTAGTTGCTAAAGTTATTTCTCACTTAAACTCTTCTATTGCTTGTGGACAGCATTCCCGTCACAGTCTTTTATAATTGTTCTTTAAAATTTTCTTTATTATTATCTAAACTTTTTAATCAAATGTTTAACTAAATTTTGTTTTCCTGCTGGAAAATAGCACATATGATTCCAAGCTTCTTTGTTGAAAAAGTAAGAGATGAAAGTTTTAGTGAGATTACAGAATGTCTGAACCACCTTAAGAAAACTAGAGAAAACTTAGCAAAAGCAATTAAAAGAGATCAAAACACAAATCAAGAAAAAGAAACAAAGATAAGTGATTAGGGTTGTTTGGAAAACCAACCACAAAGTTATCAGTGTAAAAAATTAAAAAAAAACTTCGAACAAAAATGAGTACAAGAGCTAGCAATGAGATGAGCATTTAAGTCATCAATATCAACAATATTGGCAGATGAATAAAGAAAAATGGGTTTAAAAATTAAAATAAGAACAATAACAACAAAAAAAAGTGATTTAGGGGCTAAACAGAGATACATAAGATAATAGTCTAACAGCTTAAACCTGATTTCACAGCAAACACAGAAATATATAAATAATATACCCACACAGGCAATACCCACATTCTTAGTCCAGGCCAAGCATGTGAATATTGGAGGCTTTCAGGAATAATAACCCTTAACACTAAGATTTGAAGGTGTAACCATCAAATTTAAATTACTCTCACTAAGATCAAATTGGTGAAGCCAAAGTAAGAAGATTGATTGGATGTGATCATCCAATCAATCTTCTTACTATTATTAGCAAGATCTTTGAGACTTTAAATAACAAACTTCTAGTATCTCATTTTGGGCCTAACAATTAATTCTCTGACAATCAATGCAAATTTTAATCCTTTTGTTTTACTGACGACTTGTTAATTATTATAAAAAATAGATTTTATTGTGCATTAAATGTTATTGTTAAATTAAGGCTATTTCTCTTGACGTATTAAAGGCCTTCAATAAAGTCTGGCATGCTGGTCTTCTCTATACGTTTGCTTTGTACAGTGTGTCTAGGAAAGTTTTAAAAGTATTGAAACTTTTTAACTACAGTTGTTTTAGATAGACAACAATGGGGTGTCAATTTTTTTTTTTTTTCAATTTCAAAAACGGCAGAGTTACTTTTAGGGACAAACTTTATAGGAATTCTAAAAAAAGAATTCTGAAAAAAAAAAACTTTCGGTTCAAAGCAACACTGACCAACCCAGGGTCAGCATTGTTTTGAATGGAAAAATGACTAAAAATGACTAATTAACAGGGCAAAACTATAACTAAAAAAAGTTTTTTTTTACTAAAATTTTTGATTAATTCAATAATTGTTATGTTGAATGTTAGGAAAATTGATTATTTGGTTCAAAAAGTCATAAAAATAAACACAGAAAAAAAGTTTTTGTGAAGGGTTTAAACAAAATATTTACAAAAATGAAGCACTTGTTTCATATTTTAGACAAAGAATGTTACGTTTGAGCGCGTTGTTTTTTTCCTGTTTTTTTTTCAAACTTTATTATGTTAGAGACAAGAGTCTTAATAATGCATTCATTAAATGCAAACCATGCAGATCTCTTTATAAGTTTCATTCTATTGCAACAAACTCTTTTTTTTGATGTTGTTTCAATTGGAATAAAATATGTCGAGGTCCCTCTAATGCAAACATGCAAACAAAAACTTTAAAAAAATAACTTTAGGTGAACCACTTATTGTTTCGCCAGATAAAATACTTAATGATCTTTTGGCTGATCAGGCTTACTGATACAGAATTTTATAAGCAATAAGACCTGTAGTGTTACCTGAAAATTTAATAAAACTTGAATTAGGTCCTGTTTCTCATTTCAGATGGCTCAATAAAGCCAACCATTTTTGTAGAATGTGGGTTTCAATACATTTCCTAAAAGAGAAAAAACCTTAGAAATTTACATTTAATTTTTGAATTTATAGTTGATGTGTATTTTCCTTGCTGAATTCAAATAAAGGTAAAACATTCCTGGTTAGATGGACCTCGGGATATTTTATTACAATTAAAACAACTAAAATATATATAAAAAAAGAGGTTGTTGCAAATGAAAACTTTAAAGAGATCTGCAGAAGTTTGCATTTAGTGAATGCATTATTAAGACTCGTGTTCCAAAGATGAAGAGGAGCAAAAGTTAGGAGTGAAAAAGTGAAATTAGAAGGGAGATAATAATACTCAGTTTGGGGATAATTCAGTAAAAATTCGCAAAACTCTATGCAAAATACTGATGCTGATAAATTGACTAATCTAATTGAGTGGAAATATTCAATGTATGAACTACCTACCCCAAACCTCACAAACTATGAAGTCAGCAAATATTTTCACAAGCCTATTGTTGTTCCAGATTGGCCATGTCATTCCTAATCCATCAAATATGGTGTTAAGCAGGTTACTTTTTTATACAATTACAAGTATATAATAACTTATTTTAATTTTTTTAATGACTAAATTGTTTTTAATGTTTAATATAGGTTATATAGGGGCTTTATGAGCACAAACAATTCTAAATATAAGTTAGTTGGACTCAAAAATACTAAATAAAATTTATAAACTATTAATTGTTAATTATATGTAAACCTTAATAAAGATACCAGTATTATATAATATATATTAAAAAATGTATTAGGATATAGTATACTGTTTGTTATAACAAAATTGTTTGACTTATTATTAGTTTTAGAAAAGACAGCACATCCTATGATAACATTAACTGTCTAAAACATGAAAAAATCAACTAATTTTTCTGAAAACAACCTTCACAAATGCCCTAATTATGTGTTTTTAATTATAGTTTTGCCCTGTTAATTAGTCATATTTTAGTCATTTTTCCTTTCAAAACAATGCTGACCCTGGGTGGGTCAGCATTGTTTTGAACGGAAAATTATTATTTTAAGTTTTTTTTTGCAGATTCAGAATTCCCATAAAATTCTTCACCTAAAGTAATGCTGCTATTTTTAATATATATATATATATATATATATATAAAAAATTGGTACACCCTAAGGTAACACTCGTCATGATTTCCAGGATACCACAAGGCTTTATCTTTGCTTCTATTCTGTTCTTCATCTATGATCCTCCTGATAATTTTATCTCAAAACTGGCTATAGTTGCTGATGACTAAATACTCTTGTATATACAGTTTTGATAAAAAGTTATCACTTTTTAATCACTTAGAACAGACTGCTGATACCTGATTTTTCTTCTGTGACTGCTTGGGGCTTACAGTTATTAGTGAATTTTGATTTTTTTTTTCCCAACATCTTTACTTCTAACAAGGCATCAAGTAACAACTATTAGAGTTAGAAGAGAAAATATGAAATTTATATAGCATAATAATGATTGACAGACAACTTAAAATATTACAAATTATATGAATCAGGAAAACAAGATGAAGGAAACGAATTCTAAAGAACTGATGTTTTAGAAAAAAAACTGAATGAATAAAATTTTTTAGAGTACTTGGGAACAATCACAGTAAAAGGATTAGACTTAATTGAATGACAAGTAACAAAAGAATGAATTTTAATAGATATCACAAGAAACGCTAGCTCTTTAGAGCAATACCCATTATAGTATTTATAGAAAAAAGAAAGAAAAGCAAAATTACGATGATGTGATAATAGTTGGAGGTTGGCTGCAAGTGCAGGTCCAACTATTTTATAATGCATTTTTACACTTTGTCTATGAGAGAAAGGGCATCATTGGAAGATTCATCCCAAATATGGCAACAGTATTCCATACAAGGACAGATTTGAGATTTATAGAAATAAAGAATAGAATTTGGAATAAAAAAGTGTTTACTGCTATATTTAACACAATAATGTTGATATTCTGGATAATAGATCTTAATATTAATCTTATTATTAATTAGATTAATGATATATCTATCTTAAGAAAGAATAATTCAAGTAAAAATAAAGTAGAAGACTCAGTAAGAGTGTTGCATCTCTTACTGAACCTTAATTTATGTTTACTATTCTTTACTAGTGTTTTATTTATTTATCTTAATTTTTTTAATTTTTAAGTTTAAATTTCTTTGAAAAGGTACCTTTACAAATATCTTATTTGTGTTTGTATGCAACACTATTATCATATTTTGTCAAGTTCTTCTAGTGGGGCCTTCTCTTTTTTTAGATAAGGCCCAAAAATGGATTTCAAATGTTGTTGGACCTGCTTTAGCTGTTATTTTATACAAATAATACTTATACAATTTACACTTTTTTAAGTCTTCTGTCAACTGCTTTCATTTTCTTTGATTGTGCTCTGATTTTTTGATTCTTTCTATTAACTCCTTAATTAGTGGTTCCTCACAGCCTTAATTAGTGGTTCCTCACAGCCTTAATTAGTGGTTCCTCACAGCCTTAATTAGTGGTTCCTCACAGCCTTTTTGGAAGTGAACTTGTTTGAAAAAAAAAAGTTCTAAGGTTGTATCACATAAAATGTATATTTATAATTACAATAAATTTTTATTTTCTGTATTATTTTACCTGTTTGAAACTGCAGTTTTTCAGAAGAATTTCCTTGACCAGCTTCAGTGAATGCTACCACATATGCAATATAAGTACTGTTGGGCATTAGAGTATAAATTAAGATAAAAACATCTTTGGTTGTTTCAACCATTGTTGCATTTCTATAACAGATGCAGACTTCATAGTCTAAAAATGAAATCAAATTTACTTAACTCTACTCTTTGTTAACAAATGTTTTTAAATAATGTAAATAGTGTTTCCAATATTTAGATAAAATATCTGGGACCCAAGCTTTTTATGATTTTTATACCAAGTATTTGTTAAAATGAAATATGTCAAAACACTTTAAACATTAAAGTATTTTATATTTTATAAAATATTTTGTTTATTAAAAATATGTCTTTTGTTAAAAATTTTTAAATTATAATTTTATTATCAGATTCTTGGAATTAATTGACTTAACTAATGTTGCTTCAAAAGAATTACAAAAGAAATCAAAAAAACCATTAATCAAATACTCAAGTATGCATAATAGTGCAGTACACAAATCTAAAATGTAATGCCACACCTCAAACAAACCTTGATCAAAATATTTAAAATAATAAAATAGTATATAAAAATGTAAACAAATCAAATTAGTTGGTTATTTTACAATATTACTATATATGTAGAATAATTGATTTTGGTTTTTAATGAAGAACTTTTTTTTCAGCATGTGATACAATACAAGAACATTTTTTTATAGCATGTATAACATAACAACAAAAACAAGAATATATATATACATAATAAAACAAGAAAAAACTTGAGTAATTTGGAAACACTAAATGCAAACTAAGAAATAATACATTTAATAGGACCATTCATTTTCTTTGGTGGCAACCATGACAACTTTACTGCAGTTGAATTTATAGCAACAACTTGAAGATTTGACGGTGCATCTGGCACTAGAAATTAAAAATGCTTCAATAATTATTGTATATAAGTATATAGTCAGTATTATTGTATTTACATTATATAATATAAATATATTTTTAATGATTATTAGAAATTGGATAAAACTATAACATGGTCTTCAAACAAATTTTGACCGATTCCCTTTAATTAATCTAACACATGAGAAAAACAACTGAATTATGGGTAAGTGTTTAAAATTCTACATTATTTTTTTTTGTATCCAGTCAGAAATGAGTAATATGAACAATACCAAAAATTTCTAACTGTTTTAATATTGTGCAAACCACAAGAGTCTTGATCACAGTTTTGCTCATTGAAAAAATGTTAAAAAAAAATAATCACAGATATAAAAAACCTACGTGAATGTAGTTGCTCTTTGCAACCATAGAGTCAAAATTTGAGACACCTAAAGCCTAGTTAAAACTCTTAATGGACCTTAAGTTAAAAAATATTTATACTTTTTAACTTAAGTATATTTAAAAATTTTCCCTCTTTTTTTTGTTTGTTTCAAATTCATATAAGAAGTATAGGTATACTAAGAAATATACTTTTTGACTGGGAACCTAACAAGAAACATTTTTTTAAAAGAATTTTTTTTTATATTGAACAACTATTATAAATTCCACAATAGATTTCAAAAATCACAACTAAGATGAAGCAACTACCATACTGTCACTGATTACTGGGAGAACTCACAACCAAAAGTATATTCTAATCCAAGCTATGAGCTAAGAGAAAAAAAAAAAAAAAAAGAATTTGCGAAAATTGTTACCCCTTCAGAAGTCTTGGGAGGTGAAATTCTTAAAAAAATAAAGAGTGTTGCCATACATCAATATAGAAATAACAACAATGTTGTGATAATAATTAGCAGTAAACAGTTTTACTCATGTTTACTCTCTTATTAGGTGCCAACTCTATTATGGGGTGCAAACTCAGTTAGAACCCTAAATGTTAACAAAAATGAAGAGTATTGGCCTTCAAGAACAATTTAAATATAACTTTTAAAATAACTTTTAAATCTTTTTCAGATAACATGTGATAACTACAAATCTGGACAATGTTTGAGTAAATATTATAACGAGTGTACGCATAGAAAACGAGTGTACGCATTTTTGAATTTGCATCCAGATAAGAATAAAAGCTTATTGTAAATCATTTTTGAATGGAGAACATACCAAAATCTACTATTATAATATACTTCAAAGAAAGGAAAATAATATAGGACCAGAAAGAAAAGTTGGAAGTGGTTGCAAAGCAAAAAAGATGTCTGCAAAAGAGAAAAAGCGTCTTTAAAATTTGATTGATCAAAAAGATGGTATTTCACAGCGTGGTCTTGCAAAAGGATTCCATGTATTGCAACCGTACATATGCAAAATTATTCACAAAAAAAAACTAGTAATTGTTATCTTAAAAAAACTAAAACACCTAAAAGAACACCGACTCAAAAAGCAGCTGTTCGTTCAAAGTGCTGTAGATTGGTTTCGATTTTTAGGAAAAAAGTAGTTATTATTGACGATGAATTATACTTTTATTTGAGCAACACCAATATTTCCAGAAATACTGGATTCTATTCTTCTGACATAAATACAGCATCAAATGATGTAAAGTTAAAAAGAAAAGACAAATTTGAGCCAAAATTACTTGTTTGGATTGCATTCTCAACGAAAGGAATCTCTCAGCAGTATATTGCTCCGTCAGGCCAAGCAGTTTATGAAGATTTGTATATTTCAAAATGTCTGGTTAGAATTCATTGAAAAACATCATAAAAATGACAATATTGTCTTTTGGCCTGATCTAGCTTCGTTACATTATTTGCGTAAAGAGCAAGGTTACCTAAAAGCTAAAAATATTGAATTTGTATCAAGAGAGCATAACCCTGCTAATGTACCAATTATGTCCAATTGAAGATTTTTGGTCTGAACTTAAGAGATTAGTGTATAATAAAAACTGGCGAGCTGAAAATCTAGGTAAACTTAAAAAGTGGATTGAGTTTTCAATTAAGAAAATCAACATAGAACATGTACATCGGCTTAAATTTTATTATTTAGATATTTTTTGTTATTATACTTTTTAAATAACTAAAACTGATCATTCCGTTAAAAAGTTATACAATTTCTAATTTTGTCCAGATTTTTAGTTATCACATGTTACAACATATGAAGCGAGATTATGGAGAAGTCCTGCATACCAAACTTTATCAAATACTTTGCTATGTCACCTCCATCTAATACAGGATAGAACCTGTTATAACAGAAACAGGTCAGCTGTAGAACAAGAAAATCAAAATGCAAATTGATTGTCAAAGAGTAAGCAACTAGATTTAAAATGAGAAACACAAAGTTGGTAAATCAAAGACTCAAAGAACTTTGCTAATAACAGAAGGAAGAATGATTGGAAGAAAGTTAGAGAGGTTAAAGTGTTCTCTAAAGTTTTTAAAAATTGTAACCACAGATTCCATTTTTCAGCAGTTAGGAAAACAAGATTCAGTTAAAAGCTAGTTAAACAGTTTAGAGAGAATAGTTTAGAACACCTTTGTAGACCTATGAAAGAAATGTTGTCCAGACCGCAAGAAAAGAGTTCAAGTGAAAAATAGCGATAGCAACTGAAACCAGATTTTGATGTTTAGCAACGGATTAAACTAATTTTATAGGATGACAGGAGGAGTGTGGTAATAATATTCAACCCATCTTCATGTTTTCCTGACTCATACAACCTTCAACTTTTCAAGTCTTCTGTCAACCGTTTCCTTGCTCTATAACTCTGTTCTTTTTTTTCTTCCTAGTAACTCCCAACTTAATAGTGGTTGCTTGCAGCCTTGTCGGGAGTGAATGCAAATAAAAAAAAAAAAAAAAAGATAAAATAGCAAACAAATGGTAAGATTTAACATTAGATTTTACATTTAACAGATGAAAAATTGTTTGAAGACCATGAGTATTTGTAAAGAATAGATTGAATTAATTTGGTGGAAATTGTTTTTTTTATTACCATTATAAAGTACTTTATTTATATACTTAATAATCAGAGAACTTGACTTATTTGTTGATAGTGCTAATAACCTTAAAGTAATTCTAAACAGACTCCTTATATGGCCTAGAAAATTCACACTAAAGATACTTAGAGAGAAAACTTTAAAGTGCAACATAGTACTATTAATATTTTTTTATTTTACAGTTGTTGATGGAATCAGCCTCTCTGAGAACTATCATAGAGTTCAGAAAACCTTACTATCAGCTGGTTTTAAAACCATTAATCTGAATTTTTGAGCTGCACTCTCATTATGAGATAGTAGGAAAAGTTGCATAGCCACTATCAATGAGGTACAAAGAAAAAAACCATGAGTAGAGTAAAAAAATATTCAGCGTTCTTCATCCTAGGCAGGAAACAATGTAAGACAGGTTTATATCTACCTCAGATTTAGAGATAAAGAAGGGATGCAAAACTGGTCAACAAAACTGCTCTGCTAACCTCTTAAGTCATTGCCTAGAAGGGCAAGATGAGTATTTTTATTAAGATACCATCTCTAGCCTTTACTCAACCAAGAGTCCTAAGCAGGAGATATTTTACCTCAGAGTTAACTTTTCTGAGCCTTTCCATAGAAAAGTGAATCTTACAAGGCAGCAAGACTTGCAGTAGGTAACACTGGATTACATGAAAGACCATGTAGGCAAGACTTGCAGTAGGTAATACTAGATTACATGTTACCAGTAGTAGGATGATCATATTAATCTTGAACTTGAACTGAGTGTAATGTCTAAACTGGTAAAACCATTGAATCTTGCAGGCTTCCCCATCATAACCTCGGAAGATATTAGGTAAAATCTTTTTTTTATTTGAATAAATAAACAACTAACAAATAAGTAGCAGATATGAAAAAAGAAAAATCAACCTCTGTTGTTTTTTAACTTGAAATATTTTAAAGTAAACAGTTCACACAGCAATTGGCAAAGAACTTTCAGTTGAGCAACAAACTTATTGCTAATTCCGAACATGATGTTTCTAAATTTGCTCAACCTTCTTCAAATAAATTTAGAGTTGTGGAGAAAGTTGTAACTAAAGAAAGGGAAAATATTATAAAACGTATTACTGATCATGCTAAATCTTCATTATTACCAATTATTCAGCATTTTGATAAAAAGATAATTTAGGAATTCCCAAATAGAAAAAACTATCAGCTTGACATATTTGCTGATACCATCAGGATAGTGGTCATTTCTCAAAATGTATCTTCTTCTAGACAACACTTCCAGCTTAATTGATTTTGAGAGGAATATAATAAAAGATATGGTATTCTTCACAACTGTAGTTTACACTAAGTGGTTTATAGAGGCTGAAATTTTCATCACTACCTTATATCAGGTGACATTTTTTTAGGTTTTGTAATTGTTTTGTTTTAAAATTATATTACTTTTTTGTTTCTTTAAAGCAGTTTTACTATTTCACAGTCTGAAAATTTTTAGGAAATAAAAGCTCTTTAGCATATTAGGATATATTCAAAACTCAAACCAAATCAGGCAAAACTTGTTATTGAATCTTGGGAAAAATCTAAACATTTTAATGATGTCTCTTATCTCTCAAAAAATGTAAAAGAGCAGAGTGAGACTCTAAAGAAGCTGTAATCAACACTACAGCATACAACTTATGCTATAAAAAGACAATAAGCTAATTTTTATATTAAAAACTTCATGTTTAATAGCAATATTCCCTCAAACAATAACTTAACTTGGACATTACAGGCAACTAGCTACTGCATTCAGGCAGTTTCATGAATAAAATAACTTGAATAGTAAATAAAAGTGAGAAGACTATGAAACTAATTTAGGTAGGGGAAGTGAGGGCTAACCGCCACCATAACGTTTGGATTTATGTTATATGAAAATAAAAGCGAAATGTGTCTTTTTAACAGTTCATTTCAATAAAAACATTATTAAACTTTAAATTTCTGCAATTAAGAAAATAATAAAACAGTTTTTGAAAATGTTATTACACAAAAAGTACACTTAGTGAAAAAAATGATTTTGCCCCCATTGTGAGGCACAACCCCACCCTCATAAAAATCATTAAAGGTACACTTTTCATGGCACATTTTTTTTTAAATTAAGAAATGCACAACATACCATTCATATATATAATAATATAATAATCATCAGATATCCATAACTATAACAAGATATCAATTTTTACTCTTAGCTGTATATTTTAATAAAAAACTCATAAAATTTAAATAAAAAAATATTGATAACACATATCTTTAACACTAAAATCAAATATTGCTTAATCCTCATAAGAAAGGTCTGGAAAAACATGATGTAAATATAACATTTTTATCAATACAAATATTGCTATACTAAACTTCTCAGAAACGCATCAAGCACTCTTTTTGACTGTGGTATGTTTTTTGCCATATTAGATAACATTTTTCAAAGGAAAATGTTGAAAAACGGTTGTGCCTCCATATGCAGTTATGCCCCCTATGCACTTCCCCTATATATATATTTAATTTTGTAGTGCTGTTTTAGTTAAAAACTTTTTATTTCATTTTCATACATTTAAATATATTAAATATTCCTTAATGAGTTGGTCAATAAATTACACAATGAATAGAAAATACTAAATAACTTTCTTTTATTGAATAAATAGATAAAAGGTTATTTAATAGAAATAGGCAATGAAGCTAGTTCTAGTTCATCAATAAATCTCATAGAAGCTTATACTTGATCTCTAGCTTTTTTAATTAATTTAATTCTCAATTTTCACATATAATAGCAACAATGTAAAATTATTTAAAAAAAAAATTACTAAAAAATGCATTAAAAAATATTCTTGAAAGATTGAAAATCAGCTTAAGTAAAGCTAATTTTAATGTGGATAGCAAAGTACTTCTCCAGATAAAACATGGCTATTATTCTTTGAAAAAATTGGTCTTTTAACAATTTTTTATGTTCAACAACCTTTTAGTGATTTCTCATGTTCAATTCCTAATGTTCTACATCCAAAAAGAATTCAACTTACCTCCAATCTTTGTAAAAGCAGTATAAAGGTAAGAAAAATTTCCAACTCCGACTTTGTTAATTATCGCAATATATAATTGGTATTCAGTATATGGAGTAAGCTTTTCAATAACTATAGATGTTGAGTTTGTATTAATGGTTACTTTTGAAACAGATGATACACAATTAACAATGTATCCTAAAATAACACCATTTGCACTATCCACAGTTTCAAGATTAAAGCTGATTTTAAAGCTCGTTGAAAAAATATTGATTGACTGTATTTTGTAAATTCCAATATCAGGAACTAAAAAATAAATTTTATTTGAAAATTTAAAAAAACAAATTTCTAAACAAAAATATTTTTTTATTAAAATTTTATTTCCATTTAATTATTGATCTTACTTAATTTAAATACAAGAAGATTTAAATATATTGGAGAAGGTTTAGCCTAGGACAATTTGAAAATTGAAGAAGGTTTGGCCTAGGACAATTTGAAAATTGGAGAAGGTTTGGCCTAGGACAATTTGAAAATTGGAGAAGGTTTGGCCTAGGACAATTTGAAAATATCGTAAAATTTTCTATAACCTAGTAAAGAAACTAGGTTATATAAAATTTTAAAAATCTTAAAGTGTGCAAATTTAAATCATCTATTTATTTGACGTATTATTGAGAAATGGTAGAAATCAGGAGAGGATCTGGGATCTAAGGTTCTTCAAACATGTACTCTAAAGCTTAACCAGCCCATTAAAAAACTTCTATAGTTACAGTAACTTTATTTATAAAAAAAAAAAACTGGATAACTTTACAAAAACATTTTTAAAAACACTTTAATAACCTAATAATTTTAACATCAAAGAAGAACTTTACATATTCCAATACTTTTTTGAAATTTCCAACAGGTTATTCTCTACACTCATTAAAATAAACGCTTCTTACTTTTATCCCAATAGATGAATCTTCAATTTTTTAATGGAATTTTTTATTATTTTTAGCTTACTAAAGCTTCTTTTATAGTTCACCTGACTAAAGTTGGAAAGTATTTGTACAGCAAGTATAAAATGGTGAATGCCACTGAATGCATATTAAATTTATATAAAAGCCTAAAGTAACAAACTTACCAACCAGAACATTTACTAGTATTTCAGGGGCCAATTTTTTCATATGCATATTACCCATAAAACATGGCTCCAGCTGGTTATATGCATATTATGCATATAACCAGCTGAAGCCATTATTGACATCTGTTAAATAAAGTAATGTAATGTTAAATAAACATAGGTGAGATATAATCAAGTGATAATTTAAATTTTGTTCAATTAACAAACCTTATAACCTAAATAACTTTAATCATTGTCATCTGATGTTATTTTTGTGCACATCATAACTAGGAGTGCACCAATGCATTAGCCTGCTGATGCATTGACCATTTAGCTGATGCACCAGCATCCATCTTGGCAACCATCAGCCAATGCCAATTGTTTTGAAAACATGAGTTTTTTTATTTTTTTTTTATATTGTATGCAAAAATATGATCATCCCATAAATGAAAATGCATGTATAAGCCTAAGTTATTATATAGACATATATTCAACCACTAAACTTTTAAATATTTTTTGATTAGTTTTTTATCAAGGGCTCATATTTTTTGTCTTTTTATAATTTAGAAAACTAATTATATGACTTATGGATCTAAACTATAAAAAGAGATCAGTTTAAAATCGAGACATGTAAATGTAATGTTAAATGTAAAAAAAATTTCAGCCAGATGTTTCTCTTCTATTTTTATTTTGCAAAATTTACAAATTACTTTAAATGCTTCTTTTCATTTATATCAAAATAGTCTATTAAACTTTAAGTTGCTTTGCTCATTGTTGATTTATTAATTATTTAATATGTTAATTTTTAGCACATCATAACTAGGAGTGCACCAATGCATTAGCCTGCTGATGCATTGGTGCATATATATATATATATATATATATATATATATATATATATATATATATATATATATATATATATATATACATATATATATATATATATATATATATATATATATATATATATATATATATATATATATATATATATATTTACATATATATATTTACATATATATATATATATATATATATATATATATATATATATATATATATATATATATATATATATATATATATATATATATATATATATATATATATATATGTAAATATATATATATGTAAATATATATATAGATATATATATATATATATATATATATATATATATATGTAAATATATATATATGTAAATATATATATATATATATATATATATATATATATATATATATATATATATATATATATATATATATATATATAGGAGTGCACCAATATATATATATATATATATATATATATATATAAGAGTGCACCAATATATATATATATATATATATATATATATATATATATATATATATATATATATATATATATATATATATATATATATATATATATATATATATATATATATATATATATATATATATATATATATATATATATATATATATATAGGAGTGCAGAAATGTATTGTGATTAGGCACCTAATCACAATACATTTCTTCAGCTCTCTGAGAAAATGTACCAACTAATGATGGATAAATTTTAGAAAATGCTATGAGTTCTTCTACAAATGTGTTGCAAAGAATCTGCACTAAATTACCAATCTTTAAAACCCGTTTTTCGAAACACGTTTTAGGCTATTATCAAAATTTAGTGAATGTATTAATTGATGATCAACAATTAGCATTGAATGAAAACCTTAAGTTTAAAATCATACTTAGTTAAAATCATACTTAGTTAAATCAATTGGTATTATTAGTGATCTGTTTTCTTATTTAAATGCTTTTTTTTCTTGTAAAATGACCTTCTGGAAAGTTTTTTTTCACTTAAATATGTTCAGGCATTTTTAAGTTTGCAATTTTATACTAATATTTCAATACTAATAATTTCAAATAATTTTTTACATCTATTTTATCTGTTTTCGACTCTTTCTAAGCTGACAAAAAATCTAAAATTGGTCATATTTAATTGAAAAATTCCAAAAATGTGCCGTTAAGTTATAAAGTTTTAAATTCCCATAAATTGTTAGTATATTAAAAGTTAAACATCACAATTATAAAATGCAATGCACTTACAACTGTATAAAATAAACACTTAGTCCCTTTAAACACCCATTAAAATGCCTTAGGTCTCGACTACCACTTTATATTAGATTCAGCAACCATATGTAATTTCCTAAACTTATTTTGTTGAATTTTACTTAGTATTTTCACTTGTCCAAGTATTCATACTCTTAAAAGGAAATATATATAACTAAATAATGTAATATATATGTAACTACCAAAAAATAATGCTAAACAGTTCAAACAAGACTTTATATATATCAATCTTGTTTAAATCATGGATGTAACACTAAATGAAAATGTTATTTTATTTCAAGATCTAATATAAAATCGAAGAGACCATTCATGTTATTACTTCGTCAAATGACTCAACAATTATTTTACTAAATTTTATTCTGTGTTCAAAATAAAATCTTTTGATAATTTAAAAAGTCATAGAATTAAAAAAAAACTTGTTCAATTGCAAATAGTCTTTCCTTAATATCACCATTATTGATAAAGCAAACTGCTTGATCCATAAAATGCTTGATCCATAACACCAATATCCTGAGTACTATCCATTTGTATACTGAAATTTTGATCATTAATTTCAGTTTTAATTTTATTTCTCATCCACTTAAAAATTTCTAAAATTCCTTTATCAACTGTTGTTTTTAATAAAAAAGTAATAAGTGAACCTTGTCCCTTTGATATCAATTTTTTATTTTTCTCTGTCCTTTCCTTACTCAATTTATTCTTCTCAATATCTTTAAATGCTCATGCAAAATTGTATCCTTTTAGGATGCAAATTTTACCATTTCAAAAAAAGTAGCTATAAAAAAGATTTATTAATAATTATACAGCTTTGACTGCACAATAAACTATATTTGAGTTTTGAATTAGTTGCAAATGTAAAAATAAATATCAATTTTTGCAATAAGAAAATTACTGTTACCAAATGTTAAACATTTATAATAATATATTTAATACATGCTTTTTTTAGTAAGAAACTTGTTTCTAAAAAGCTAGTACTACAGTCTTAGTAAATTAAATTAGATAACTTAATAAGTATTTAATTCGAAGCCACATTCGAATGCCATTCCTTTTGATTGTGAATGGAATTTTACTAAAAAGATCCTTAAGGAAAAAGCTTTTTTTAAAAATTAATCAAATGGAAAAAATATTAACTGATTAAATGTAAAACAATTTGTCTTACTTGTTAATAGTTTTGTTTTTTAGAATTTAAGTTAAAACTTATTAAAGATTTTTTTTACTGGCCCAGGAAGATAAATTTCTCCAACTCCCATTGCCAGTCTCTAATTAATTAGGTGGCTACATTTAGATAGTTACAAATAGTTTCTTACTGTTAAGCTGTGACAGTTTTTGTTAACAAATATTGTTACATTTGTTAACATACAGCTAAGTACTAATTTTGAACTTTTTTATATGATATTTTGAAAATTTGATGACTGAGACACAGCTTAGGAGGTTGCGCTCTATCTATAAATAAGTCAAGTTCTCTTTTAACTTAAATCATGCCAAAAGTAACTCAAAATATTAAACATAAAAAAACCATCCCCACCACCTAACTATTTTAATACATACTTTAGGAATAGTCATGAAGCAACCAGATCTCAGTGTTGATGGATACTATCCTTTGATTCGCAAAGACTCCATTAGTCACATGCATTTCCTAGGATGTATACATATACATCAAAACCTATTTGTCATGAAATTAAGATTGAGTTTTTTGACCATTTTTTTTATGTGCATCCACAGCACCTCTTCACTCTATCACCTTTCTCTTTGCTCTTTATTATTATTCTCCTTCCCAAGACTGCACTCTTTTAGATATAATTTCTGATCAAATTGACCTTGCTCTCTTTCTTTACCCCTCTGCCTCACTAATGAGTATTAATGTCACTAATATTGTTATTAGTGACTTGATTTCTTATTACACTGAATGGCTTATCTTTAAAACCACTGACCCTGTTAGGACTAAAGCCTATATCTTCTGCATTTCTTAATCTTTTACTCAGATAATTTACTTTGTGACTCATTTTCCTGACAGCTCTAATCATTTACCTTCACTCCTCAATTTTGTCTGGTCTCTGACCCTAGCTTGTGTTCAGTTTCTCCTTTTTCTCCTTTAGGTGGTTCTGACCATGCAATGATCTGTTTTTGGACTCACGTTATGTTAAGGTTATTATCTACCTAAAGCTGAGTGGGATTTTTTTCCTGATTTTCTTTGTAATGGTCCTTGGGTTGATGTCTTTTCTCCCTCAGCTGATAAATGTGAATCCTACATAACCTCCTGGATTAAGAAAAGGAATGGATGTTTTTATTCCTTTTTGTTGGTTCCAAGTCAAGCCTCATTCTACTCCATGGTTTTCACCCTATTGTGCAGCTGCTATATCTAATCATAATCATTCTTTCAATCTTTTTTAGAAGAACGACTCTCTAGAAAACAATCAGCTGTTTATTTTTGCAAGAAATCAATGTAAATAGGTGCTGTCTCATGCTAAGCTGTTCTTGCATGCTAAGCTAATGCTTAACACTAAATGCCGTATCTCAGAAGACTCTTGAGGTTTTCAAAAAATTTTCAACAGCGTTGGGTCTAACATTCCATCTCTCATTCATGGGACTGATCTTATGACCTCTTCCGAAGATAAGGAAAAACTATTTGCAAAGAACTTTTCTTTTAATTTGACTCTTGAATTTTGAAAAACTCTGATGAACATTTTAACCACTCCAACTAAAATCCAATCAGTCTTTTCTCTTTTATTAGCAAGGTTTTTGTTTTTTTAATCAATAAATTTCTAACATCTCATCTTATGTCGAATTAGTTGCTTAAACTTAAAACTTAGTTGCATCTCTTTCTCTTTTCTACAAATACTATCATGGATGCTGCTCAAAGGCGCTATCATCTCTAGTTCCATCAACTAAAACTGTGTTTGACTAGTCATTCAAAAGTCTCATTTACTATATATGTCCCTGCATGCTCTAAAAACTTTTATTCGTCTAGCTTTTTTCCCTGCACTTTAACTATTTGGAACTCACTCCCATCTTCATGCTTTCCTGACTTATACAACCTTTAACTTTTCAATTTTTCTGTCAACTGTTTCCTTGCTCTATAACTCTATTCTTTTTTTCTAGTAACTCCCAAATTAAAAAGGTTGTTTGCAGCCTTGTTGGGAGTAAATCAAAATTAAAAAAAAAAAAAAAAAACAACAACAATTTTTATTACATTGATAGCAATCATTTGTATTATACTAATAGCAATCATGCTATTACAAGTATCATACAAGTTCTTTTAAATCATTTATTTTCAAACAATTTATTTTATTTTATTAATTTTTTTTGGTTATGATTTCATTTTTGTGTTACATACAGTGATATATCTACTATATCTAAATCCTATATATACTATATCTAAATTCTACTATATTTTTACCAATACAGCAAATATAAAATAGATAAAATATATAAAAAAAGCAACATAGGTTATAAGAAGTAATATAAATACTACAAAACAAATAAGCCATAAGCATAAACCTCCTTCTAAAGTTTTCATTTCAGCTATATGACTATAGATGCTATCCCCAACAAAATTTTTTGATTTTAAACGAAAGTAATATGATGTATATGGCTTCAAGTTTATTATTAACACACTAAACATATTATGACTCACTGACATTTTATTCCAACTTTGGTTATTTAAAGTATACTCAATGATGTATAAAGTTATTGGAGAATAACCATCAAATGTTTTGTTCCATGATACTTGTATTGAATTAGAAGAGATTGCCTTAAGGCTATTTAAAACAGGCGGATCAGGATAACCTAAAAATTAAAGCAAAAAAAAAAATAAAACAATCTAAAAATTAAAAGTAAAAAAAAAAAACAAAAAAAAAAACCTATTTCTTTAAAAAAAATGTTTTAACAAAAGGCCATCAAACTTTTATTTCATATAAAATAAAATTGTTGTACAAATAGTATTCACATATAAAGTACATTTATTGGGGGAAAAAATCTTCTGTTTTTAAAAAACATGTTAAATTAACTAGTAAGGATAAAAGTTGACTTTTCAAGATTTAAAATGAGCAGAATATTTTAGTACAATGTCAAACTTAAAAAAAATTGTATTTTTTGCAGGGACAGATCCAATCTAGTAGGTGGGGGATGGTAATTTTTAGGTTGCTTTGATTTGGTGGATCAAGACCATCTTGTATTTTATGAAAAAAGTATAAATATATAACATAAGTATATAAAAATGGTATATACAACAAAAATTCAAGTTGCAAAGCATATGGTAAATAAATGCTTATATCAAAACATATTTTTTTACTATATTGCAATATTTTAAAAAAAAAATTGTAATAAAGTAAAAAACTGTGTTGCTATACACACCCATATATATACATATACATACATATATATCAGCAATGTATATGTAAGTATAATGTACCAATTGTAAATTGTGGTCAATGCCAATACCAATGCCGATACTGATTAATTAACTGATTGTTAAAATATGAAAAAAATATAAAACCATCAAATACTTCAGGTCAGGTTAGGATTATGAATATCATGATCACCCTGCTACTACCCTGTAACTTTATAGAGCTTGCATATCCTATTACTTTGTAGGACTCAAAACAAAGGCCAGGAAAATTTAACATTTGTTCAAAACACCCCTTTCCCCCAACCTAAGGCTCTTTCTTGTCTTGTAGAAAGTCTATTAGCACCTGTTTTTAACCCAACAGTTTAAAAACGGATGTTAGAAGAAGCTTATGTAGACGTAAATCTGTGTTAGTGACTGATAAAGATTTCTCAACTCTGCGGTAGATTTTAGAGACTGATTCCATCAACAGCTGTAAAATATTAGAGTAATATAAGTGTTAACTTTCATATGAATGATGTCAAGGTTAGTGTTTTTGGTATGTATTGTCAAGGCCATAAAAGGAACTTTGAATTAACTTTGTAATCGATTAACAGGACTAAGGCAACTATATAGCTCATTGTCTAAGGAGCTACGATCTCATATGATCTATGATTGAGGCAAATTTTATAATAATTTAAAAACATGACATCTAAAAATTTAAAACATAAAAAAAATTTAAAAAAATTTAGCACCTAAAAATTTAAAACATAAAAAAATTAGCACCTAAAAATTTAAAACATAAAAAAAGTTCTATATTATTATATTTTTTCAATCTACCTTTTAAAAATATTTAAAGTCTTCAAAGTTCATCTGTTAAAACTCTAGCAAAGTAAACCAGTTATTATTTGATTTTTTAAAACTAATTTAAATGCAGTTTCATCATCTCAGTGTTGATATCCTTTGATTGGCAAAAACTCTTTTTTTTTTCCTAGTAACTTTGTTCCATTATTTTGAGCCAGCCAAATATTCCTAATAATTGTCCAGAATTTTGCTCTACTAATATTTTCCAATAATTTTGTTTCAGTTTTTAAGGTTCCCTGCTACTGGTAACATGTATTCCTATACAACGTGCCGTCCAAGATAATGAATGCTAGATCTTCTTGATTATACAAATGGGTTTTTGTTTGTGCCTCCTTAGTAGAGGCTATACAACTTTTCCTAATATTATCTCTTAATGAGAGCTCTAAAACTCAGTTTAATCATTCTGAGGCTGAATCTTAGTAAGATTTCATTAACTCTGCGATATCACTGAGATTATACCAACAGTTTTTAAATATCAGAGTATTACCAATGAAAATATTGCCAAACCAATAGTCAGGCTTCTTCCCCATGGTTTTCTCCTTCTTGCTGCTAGTTTTAATCACAATAATTTTTTTCCTTTTAATGCAATTCCTTTTTAAAAAAAAAAATACAAAATTTCTGAAGCAAAACTCTATTCTCAGATTACTTTATCTCATAACTTTTTCTACAGATTACATAACCTCAGAAAATATTACCTCTCTTCTTACGGAGTAATGAAAAGGATTCTGGAAAACCAGAATCATTCCAGAATCCTTTTCATTACTCTGTAAATTATTTTACAAGTACTTAAGTGAATCTAACTTTTCTTTCAAACTTCTTTTAAACTTCTAATATATCATTTTGAGCCTAATAACTTACTAACAATCATTATATGATTTAATAACTTTGACCTAACAAGTTACTAACTACCATTATCTTAGGATTGCTTGTTATGACTGGTATTAAGATTTTATGGAGAGACATTTTATGAAACCCATAGCCATAATATCTGCTTTTAGCTGCAATTCGAATGCTTCTAGTAACCATAAAACTGGTTCTACAAGCCAGTCACCCGATTATACGAGCATAATGTCCACTTCTTCCAGCCTTCTCATTGTTTCTACTACCATTTCACATCAATTCAAAATCGACAAATCAAAGTGTAATCCAAATACCAAAGCAGACACTACAAAAAAAATTATCATGGTAGAGAGGAAAAACTGCAATACCAACCTCCATACAAAGTCTTGCAACTATATACCCTGATCAATTATGAGCCAATTGCATCAAAAAAAGGAAACGGTTCAAGACTAAAAACAAAAAAAAAAGCTGAAGTATATGGAAAAAACACTTCTGTATCTTAAAATAAAAAAAAAAAAAATTGTTAAAATCTTAGAAGTTTTTTCTTTCTGTCTATATTGTTAAGAAAATTACTCCACTAGCATTTAAGGTTGTGTTTTTTGTAGCAATTTCCATAGTTAACAAATTACTCATGTGCTGATTTAGAAGAAAAAAATAAAAGTCTAAGCTTTACTTGTGAATTGTATAAAAAGCAAATAAAATCTACAACTTATTTTATTGTTTCATTGTAAAGCCATTGTATACATATTTTTAAATGTTGAATAATGTTTTTATTTAATGCTATTGGCTTCTTTTTTGCTAGATTAGTTTGTATTGTATTTTATCATTAAAAAAAATTGGCTTCATTTAAATTATTTTTACAACTTTTTTGATGACACCATTAAGTCATCAAAAAAGTCACCACCTAGTTTACTTTATATCTATATACAAAAGCTAAATTTTAAAATTTTCTAAATATGTTATAAAAAATTAATTTTAAAAACAATATTGAACCCTATATAAAAATTTAAAATACCTTGTATAACTACACTAACTTCTTTGCTACTACTACCAGCAGTATTCTTGGCAATACACTTGTAGATTCCACTATCGTTTAACGATGTATTGTATATAGTAAGGTTACTGACAGTATGGAACAAATCATTTGAAGCAGATTCATTAGAAAAAACAATAGAAAGTGTTAAGTTAAATGGAACTTTCCATATGATGCTTACAAATGGATCACCATATGCCATGCAGGAGATCTTAAGTAAGCTTGATATATTTGCATATACTTTTTCTTCTAATTCTATCATGGGTGGGACTTAAAAAATAAAATAAAATAATGTTAGTAGCAGACTCATGCAAACTAATGCCCACATTCAAATGATATTTGCATCAATAGTTGTGAAAATATCATTTGAATGTGTTTCATTAATATTAATAGTGTTTCAAAATTTGTATTAATAAAAGGTGAATAAAAAATTTTCATTTCAAAAAATTTTTTATGTAAATAAATTTTCACTTTCATTTTAAAAAGTTCAATGAAATACCAATAAAAAATTTAACCTACAAAATTGTTAAATTTAACCTATTTTTACTAATTTTATTCTATTGCTGAAAATTCAATAATAGAGTTTTAAAATAGGAAGTTTGGCAAAAGTAAAAATACTATTATATTTATACTTGTAAATTAGGTTTCTACAAATAAAAGTTTGAAGTTTTGAATACTTTAATATTGTAAATTTTTTCAAGACGACTTATTTGTAAGTTTAAATGCTAGCATTGTTTAATGATGATTCAAAGCTATATTTACATTAAATTTGTAATTATCTTGGATTTTGGATTCAAGATGCCACATCCCAACATTGAAATGCAAAGCTTACAATGTCACATTTAATTTTTGATAATGACTATCGCCTAACACATAATATTTATCATTCTGATCATATCCAAAATTAAAAAGGGATACCTTATGATAAGTATGGCATACCACAAAACTGTTTTAGAACCAATTCAGGAATGATTTCCCAATAATGGAGTAAAGTAAGTTGGTCTAAAATTGATTTTCAAGACCAAGAACTTAGCTCAAGCAACATTCCAAACAAAGTAGAAATGAGTAACAATCAAAGACTGACTAAAATCTCTGAAACAATTTTGAATTGTTTGAAACTGAACTGTGAATGAATATGAGCTGATAAATCAGCGTTGTGAAAACTTCGACAATAAGAATGATGAAATGATAGGAGCGCCTGAAATTCTGTGATCAAACTCACAATTCATTTTTAGTAGAATCTTAACCAAGTGATGTTAATTTGTTTAAAAAAGCAGCTACAAAAAATACAATAAAAAGTGAAAGCATATAAACAGAATGCACATAAAGTACATAAAGTCTATTCTACTACATATGCTTTCACTTTTCAAATGGACCAGAGAACAGTGAAGATGCTAGGATTGAAAACATCATCCACAAGTAAAAAATGTAAAGAAAACAAAAGGTAAAAAAGAAAAATTTCCGGAAAATTTTTTATCTAAATCTTACTGTGAGTACTATTGGAATTTTTGCAATAGTACTAGCATATAATTCTTCTCTTAAACAAGAATTAAAGGCATATTGTTACTAGTGAAAAAGAAAAATGAAGTCTAATTGATTATGGTAGCAATTTTAAAGGAGTTTTCAGAAAAACTAAAACAAGATATACCTTATACTGCATATCAAGCTCATCAAACAAATATTTTTGTTGAACATGCAGTTAAAAGAAACAAAATGGCTTCATATGTATTCTTACAATGTGCTGTGTACTTCTTTAAGTACCAAACAATTCAGCTTAATTTTAAACTTAAGTGCATTGAAAACTAATTAAAAATTCGCAATGAAAAAACTAAATGGCCATCTTATTCTGAATTAATACAAGCATTTAGGATAAGTATAGAACCTGTTGTTTAATGTTTATATGAAATAGGTCAGTAAGATATTTTAGATTAGAAGACAAAAAATCATGCATAAAAAATTGTGAATTTCAGTTTGGAAAGAAAGGTTTTTGGTTTAAAAAGAAAACTTTCTTAATACTGAACAACTGCTTTTCCTTAATATTTTTCTAACAAACCTTTAGTAACTAACTTCAAAATTATAAAATCAAAATTTCTCTGATTACAAATAACTATAAGAAACCATTAGTATAAAAAAATGTATACCTAATACACGCAAAAGCCCTTTATTGGAGGTAATGTTTCCAACAAGATTAGAGGCAATACAATAATAGAATCCTGCATGCATTTTAGTTATGTTTGTGATATATAACAAATCTGGTGTTGAAACATTACCAAACAATAATTTCTGGTTTTCATAATACCAATAAATATTTGGGTATGGATAACCATTGACTTTGCAACTTAATATAATGCTTTCACCAATATTAACTGTAAGATTCAAAGGATGAGTTAAGAAGACTGCAGATGCTAATTGAAAAACAATATATTTAAAACTATACAAAAAAACCATATATATAACCATATATTTTTATACAAATTATAAAAAATTTATATACAAATACATTATATACAAATTATACAAATTAAACAACATTGTAATAAGTCAGTATTATGAATCAATTGAAATTTAAAACTTTTAAAAAATTTATCTTAACTTTACGTACAAATAAAATTTATAAACTATTTATGACTAATATTTTTTTCTACTAAAATATTTAAAAATTATTTCTTTGAGTAATGATAAATGTATTAAAAATCCATTATTTAAAAAAAAAAAAAACTTACAGTAAAGTATCACATAAATCAAATGCTTTGTGGTACCAACTTCATTACTAGCACAGCATACATAAACTCCTTGATCCAAAATTGAAACTAATTGAGCAATATAAATTTCTGACATTGATAAAACAATCAATTTATTTTTTACAACCCTGTATATTGTTATATTGGGTTTTGGTTTACCATGGGCACTACAATTAATTAGCAATGAATCACCATTGTGTATAGAAATGTTTTTATTTTGTGAAGTAAAAGTTGGCAACTCTAAAATTAAAAATTTTTTAAATAAATATAAAAAAATTTTAAAAAGAATTTGTTGCAAATAATACTATTAAATTTTTTTTTAACTATGTGGGAGTGGTATAATAGTAGAGCGCTCTGTAAGCAAATGTAAGAAGTTTCAAGTTTAATTCCCACCATGGCTTTGGTATTACTTACCTTGCCAAGATTTTTGTTTCAGAGTATAAGTATAATAAAAAAAGTAGCCTCCATAACTGTAGTAGACTCAATGCCTTGAGGAGATAAATACACAATTTATATTAACAATATTGTTAATATAAATTGTGAATATACAATTTATTTTTAACATGTTAGTATTTAATTTAAAAAAATTGTCATTTTTAATTAAGTAAATACAGACGGTCTTTGCTATGTGTCAATTTTATAGCATTATATAACATAAATGCACATTTTAAACAGAAAAAAAAATGGATTTTAGAGATGTTCACTAACTCAATCATTAAAATAAATGTAAAATTATAATTTATCAAAGCAGTAAAATAAAAAAATAAAATTATTATAAAACAAACCTAAAACCTCCAGATTTGCTTTCTTTGAAGTTCGAGAAACCATTGCTACTTTGTTTGTTATTTGACAAAAATACATACCTTCATCAAACGCTTGTATATTGCTTATTGTTAAGCTGTTGTTTAACAAAACGCCAACTCTTTTATTTGGAAAAATAATGTTAAAGTCTTTAAACCAGTTAACAATAAGTGAGTCAGGGTAATGAATAGGTGGAACACAATTAAATGTTACTGATTCTCCAACTTTTTTTTTTTGTGATGTGGGGTTTTCCAAAAAATCAAATGCAATATCTAGGAAAAAAAGTTATTTAATACTTCAACTTTTTGTAAAAAACCTAAAAAAAAAGTTTAAATTTTGAAAACAATTTTGTTTTAAAGGCACATATATAGAAATTCTTAAATTGAATGTCCAGTTTAAGTAAATAACTTTGTTGTAAAACTTAATATAGTAGGCACATAAAGTTTAACGGTAACAAAAGCATGCATATATTTAGTGGTGACCATTTCAATTTTCCATAAATCAAATGGTATGAAAATGTTTCTGCTCAAACAAACAATAAGAAAAAACAGCATTGGAACTAGAGAAGATATTATACTTTATTTGTTATATTTTCTTTGTTATATTTCAGAATATACTTGATTTTGTCATGACTAAATCATTACACCAAATCTAACACATAAAAATTTACCACCATTTGTATTAGTTTGTCAAAGCCATTTGGTACTAAAACTTAATTATAACTCATCATGAAGATAGAAATTATCAACATTCAAGTGCAATAACCCCAAAAGTGATTTTATTTCATTGCTTGATCATCTTTTACAAAAAATGAATAAAGAAAATACAAAGTTAAACTATGAAAATACCAACCATGTACAAACATCTTTGTTACAAAGAGAGATACATCTTCTTTCAAATTTAAAGTAGTAGTAAATAATAATCAAAAAATGAACCTGTAAAAACTTGTTTATCAATAAAAAATACTACAGTTAGCTTATATTTATCAATTTTAAGCAGTTGAGGTTAAAGTTTTTTTCTAATATGATACAAGTTAATAAAAAACCACTGTTTATATGACTGAACTATTCAGAAAATAGTTCTAGAAAAAATTAGACACGTTAAAAATTAAAAAAATATAACTAGGCTTTGAAGTTGTTTATTTTTAACAATAAAGAAATTAAAAGGTGAAACCCAAATGGTATTTCTAAGGCAGAGTTTAGTCCTTAGCCTTGCCTTAAGTCCAAAAATAAAGGCCTTGGCCTTGAACGTTTTGGCCTCGGCCTACCACCTTTTCTTATTACATTTAGAACTTTCATTTATGTTTGCATTTTAAAAATTTTACTACAGTTGACTTTGTTTACAAGAGTTATATTTGCTTACTTAAAGGCTTTAAAACTTATTTTGGTGTTTTATGTCACAGTTTAAATTGCCATTTTTGACTAAGCAATTTAAAACACTAATCAATGATATGATTGGTTGACGGAAATTTATTACATCTATATACAAAGTCACATGATTTGTTTTAATGATTTTTACTAATTAAAACATTTCAAAAATTAAAAAAGATTTAAACACATAAACTTTTCTTACAATTAAAGACAGAATTTTAAAGGTTTTTTGAATTGAAACAGTTTTTATTATATTTAAATTATAATTTATTATAAAGTATTTAATTTATTTTATTATATCATTTTTTATTTAACTTATATTATTATTTTATTTAATTATACTGCTTTTACACAATTTATCTAAATCTGTTCATAAAAGTTGTTAATAATGTATTTTTATTAGAATTTTATAAAACTTATAAAATTTAACTTTGAACCAATAGTTTAATTATTTTTATTTGATAGTTTAGTCACTGAGCTATCAAAGATTTGCTCATGAACAACACCAGAAACCACTTTGACATCTACTAAACATAGTGTTATACCTGATTTAAAATCCCCCCAAAAAAAACTTTTTTGCAAAATACAGAAAAAATCATGTTTTACAAATAAAATAGTTTTCACAAACTATCTTGAACAAATAAATCACTAGAATTTAATCAAAAAGAACTTTCATGAAAAAAACTGTACACAATAAAACAATATTCAACAATTAGAAATATATATTTGACAAGTATTTCTGTGTTCCTGAACATCAGCTCCTGTCAAGCGTATCTTTTGTCAGAGTGATTATGATTATATTTGTCAGATTGATAATTCGCATCATAGGGCTTGTACGTCTAACTCATTGCTTGAAACTTTGATGTTTCTTAGACGTAACAAAGACTTATAGGCTATATAGTCATAGTTAATGCTAACTATTTTGCTTAAATCAAAAAAAAAATTAATGGCAAGTTGTAAAAAACCTAAATTCTGTCGAATGGACAAACCTCAAAATATTTTATTTATTGTTCTAATAAATTTGAGTTAGTAAATCTGGCAATGGATAAAAATTTTTGCTTTGACTAAATCAAAATCTTTACTTACTTTACAAAATCTTTAACAACTAATATTAACATAGTTTTAATTAAAAGATGTTAATATTGGTTGTTTGCATTATGTACAAAAATGTATAAAAAAAAAAAGAATTAAAAGCTTATCAAATTCTGCACATAACCTTGGTATAATTTCACAACATGTGGTTTTATTGTCAAAGCTACCTGCAATTTTGTTAATAATTGGTTTTAATGTAAGACCAAAATTTAAGTCTTTGACCTTGAAATCTTTTGGTATTGGTCTTGGCCTTGGCATTGGAACATGTGGCCTTGGCTTTGCTATTTTTGGCCTTGTTAACAACTCTATTCTAAGAGTATGATTTCTTAACTGTTATCAACTTGAAAGTATGAAATTGCAAATTTAAACTATCTACATAATGCATATAATATGAAAAAATATAAAAATCAGAAATGGTGCCTTGAATTTGAATTAAAGCAGCATTAGAACAAAAAATTAATTTTAGTTTGTTTAGCATTAGATTTATCATTTATTCATAATTCAAATATTTTTAATATATTTCTTTTATTTTACTGCTTGTTTGAAACTGTAGCTAAATACTTTTAAAGTTTATTTTTCTGACATTTCATTTTCAAAACAACAATAAATTTGGTTAAACTTCTTCTTTAATATAAAATACTAGTATATAGAAAGTAAACATTTTTTTTTAACAAATTCTTTACAAACAAGACTGCAAGCAACCATTTGTAGTTTGGAGTTAATCGAAAACACAGAAAAGAGTTTAAGAGCAATAAAACAGCTGACAGAAGACTTAAAAAATTGTAATTCTATGAAAAATAAAAGATTTATAGAGGCAGAGAATGGATTAAAAAAATGGTGATCACGATAAAGAAAAAATAACCTTAGCAGATGCTAAGTTTGTAATGGAGGGTATACATGGTTTCCACAAGAGGTCATGTAATATAATCAGAGAAAAAGTTCACCAAGAGTGCTGCCATCTATTAATATAAGAGTATCAGTGTTTGGATTAAAATTCACCAGCCTCTGCAAGCCCCAAGTTTTCACAGTAGAGAGATCAAATTCAAAATTAACTGCTAGTTTTAAACCATGAAAAAAAAGATTTTTTGTTAAAACTAGTAACCTATCTTTAGAAGTAAGATTATATGGAAGATTATTAACATAGATGATAAACAACGCTATATAAGGAACCTTTGGTACCCAGAAGCACCTGGAAATGTAGGAGAGTGTTATCCATTAAGGACTTACCTTAATACTGCATTTAGAAAGGAATGATTCAATAATTATAATTTTTCCAGAGATGACATATGAAGCAAACTAATGGAGATTAGTTTGCTTCATATGTCATCTCTGGAATATGTCATCTCTGGAAAAGACTAATTAGGATTTTTTCATCGTCAATGTTCTGAACTCTGAACAATGTTCCTGCACTCTGTGCAGCAGTAAATCACTTGGTTACTTTTATTAAAGATAGACTATAGACAATATTAATGTGCATATTTAGCACTGACATAAGATTATAACCAATAGAAACGTATTGAAAAATAAAATAATTAGACTTTTTTTGTTTTCTCAGCAAAGTTGGTCTTTCAATTGATTTGATTTAATATGCTGCTTCTTTGAGCGTTGCAAAAAACAAATGGAAGTCGTCATCATTCCTCATATTTTTTATTGTATCAATCACTAATCATGCAGATTTTCTTCCACTGGTTACCAACATCTTTGTCAATTAAAGAGACTTTGACAAGCTATCAGTCATGGCCTAAAGTTTATAAAGAGATTGATG